CCCTGATGCCAAGAGATCAGCCGCTATCGAGCCGACAGTGACACGGGGCAAAATGCCACCTGTGCAGGGACGAGAGGCGCACGCTGATACAGCGGGCCGGGGGCCGGGGGGCGGGGCTCATCAGTCTGCAAGCATGAGTGCGGGATACGCGAGTGGGATTTCGAGGCGCGCCTCTTCGCCTGGCCCCGGTGGAGATTCAGCCGCCTGTGTGATTCCCCAGGAGCTGTGCATCCCAGTTCACCTTACTGTGCTGCGGGAGAGCAGCACGCCAGCCTCCTCCTGACGCGGAGAGAAGGCACGGACTGGGCCTTCCCTTTGCTTCGGGAGGCAAGCTTCCCGAGCCCCAGTCTAACGGAGGAGAGCTGTGGGATCTCCCGGCTTTGCAACGAGAGGCGCCTTTTGTCAGCGAGCAGCTGCTGAAAGTGGCACGTTGATGGAAGTCCCCCAGGCGGAAAGAGTTCCTGCTAAGCCTGCTGCTCAGAAGTGAGAAAGAATGGCGGGAGATACGACAGCCGAATCGAGCAGGACAGTCCCAAAGACAGATGTCGTGTCCCCTAATCCCTTTCAAGAGTGCAGATGGGAGCTTTACACTGAACCGCCATGGCTCTGAGAAAATACGAACCAGACCGCAATCCCCCCCTTCCCCACCTGGGGGCGCCCGTGAACACGCCTCCAGCTGTCCCCCGCCAACCCGTACCTCAGGAATGGGGTCCGACAGCAGGCTGTAGAGCTTCTCGTGGGCGCTGTCGCGCACACCGCACCAGCGCGCGGAGTCGAAGTTCTGCCAGATGCGGCCCAGGCAGATGGCCACCCACTGGCGCAGGAGGGGGTGGGGGTCACTGAGCTGCTCGAGGCAAATAGCAATGAGGTTTCCCTGCAGACAGGCCTCCTGGGGGGCAGGAGAGTGAAAGACAGAGACAGAGAGATACGTCAGGGCGTTGCTAACTGGGAGCTGCCCTTTATGAGCTCCTATCCTGCAGAACTGCAGGCACAAGGCACTGTGAAGTTACAGTACAGTTAAATTACAACGAAGCATGGAACTTTGTAACACCGAGTGCGGTCGACTGCGGCGCGGTGACAGTGAATGATATATATGCACACAAGGAAACCAAGAGAAAATCTGTAAATTTACCAGGTAAATTCACTATTGTAAACTAAAAGATCAAAGAAAACCTAGAGCAAGAAAACAAACTCAACCCAAATTAAAAAAAAGCACAATGATATTACTTTGAGTAAACATTAAAAGCCAAACAACCCTGTTCTGATAGGGAAAAGGAAAAAAAGCTCATTTGACATTTTCAACTCAAAACACAAAGATAGGCACAAGTGTTTCTGCCTGTTTCAAGGAAAAACTCTGATTTGGGCTAAAAAGCGAACATGTTTCTTTGTAAATTTCGAACACTAAGAATAATTCTTAAAACAAATGTTACCGGGTTAGACCTGTCATCTCTGTTTCTGTTTCTTTTCCCGAGTTTTATCGGTACATGCAGAATGATTGATGCCTATAGTACACTCAGATCTACGAATGCAGTGTTAATGCAGCAAATATTTTGAAACACATGACAATGTCTGGATTGGCTCAGACACTCAAAGTTCATTAGCCAGAATATTTAAGCAACACAGAAGACACCGGACAGACCACTGAAGGGGTGACCGAAAGCTGAGAAACATATATTAAAAATCCAAATCAAAAGAGAACTGTATAAATAATCTAATAGAGAAAGCCAAAAACATCATCCCTGTAATGTTGCCACTCATCTATAATTCAGCAAGGAAAACAAATGTTCTAACAAAAAACTAATATAAGAGACTGGAAACATTGCCGTAACTTAATGACGAAGGATGTGAATCTCCGAAAGAAGGAAGGGGAAGGAGCAGAGTCACCGGATAAAGAGCTAGTCTGATTAATATGCTGGGAAGTTTGCACTGTCAGTTTGTACCCTATTGGTGCATAAATAACAGCTCAAGTGTAATAAAGATTCAACCATACTGTTTTTGGAAAATACAATACAAACTTCATGCAGTACACATTTCAAAGAGAGAAGCGTGCCGGACAAGTGCTGAATAATCAGGTCTGTCTAAACACTGACCCTCCTGCAGATTGCCAAATCATAACCACCTGATCTTCCAGCAGGTGAACCAGTACCCAACTGACCCTCCAGCAGGTGCCCAACCCGTACCCCACCTGATCTTCCAAGCAGGTGTCCAACCGGCACTCGTCTGACCATCCAGCAGGTGCCCAACCCGTACCCCACCTGATCCTCCAACAGGTGCCCAACCCGTACCCACCTGATCCTCCAACAGGTACCTAACCTGTAATCACCTGACCCTCCAGCATGTGCCCAACCCATAACCTCCTGAGCCTCCAGCAGATGCCCAACTCGTGCCTACTGGACCCTCTTGACAGTGCCCAGGCTGTACCCACCTGTCCTGTGTTATAACTGTTCACGATCACTGCCAGGATAAATGCTGCCATGGTACGGTGCTCAGCCTGGGACAGAAAACACAAAACAGTGATACGGCAGTCTCCTCGTATTGCATTTACATTTAACCCATTTTAGTTTTCAGCAGGAGCTACAGATAAGCAGATATTAGATCCTTTCATGCTTCGAATAACCCAAAAAGGACCTTCTACATCTGTGCATTTTCACCTGAATGTTGTTTTGTTGTCTAGGTAGTAGCACTTTACTTAGAAATGGTACAGGTAACAAGTATAAGCTTTGTAAATGTTCCAGGAGCTCGAAGCAGTTGACACTCACTGGCATGTAGGGATCCGCCAAGACCGACAGGAAGTACTTGTGGCCGTTGTCCTTCACCAGGTCAGCTTGACAAGACTGTGAGATCCCAGTGGGATAGAGAGAGGATAAGAAAGAAAGAAAGGGAAAGGACGATGAAAGAATACAGAATCACTGTGTACACCCGCCTGTCCTGTAACACATTTTCTCCTCCCTGTGGGCTGATTAATACCAAAGGGATTAACAAGGCACTGGAAAAGGAATGGTCCCCAGTGAATCAGGCAAATCTGCACCTGATGCCTGGGGCCATTTCTGCAAAACTAGCCCAGATCCTGCCTTAGTAATGGGCAGCACTGTCATCTCCACTCCCACACTCTCAGCTGCAGTTCTTCCATTTATTAAGGCCCTTCCATCACAGCTGAGGATTTTTAAAATGATTCACAGTGGTGACCAAGCATCGTTACGGTTCTTATTTTACAATTTCTCATCTTTAACTTTATGTGGGAATGCAATGCTGGGGTAAATTGCTATAAAAAAAAACAAAGGCGAAGTGTGTGAATTAGATGCCTCATTGACACTTGTTCCATCATCTTCATCCAAGCACTTTTTTTCAAATTGTTACCAGGACTTGTTAAGCTGCTGGCTCAGTGTGAAAAGTGACTATCATATCTATCACACTGACTGCTCTTGTATTCTACAAAAGAGCGCATGATTAAGGAACTGAAATGAATAACTAAATGCAGCACAGCAGCGTGCCAGTTAGCACTGCTGCCTGACAGCAATCGAGTCCTGAGTCCTCAGCTGATCAGGGCATCTTAGGTTTAGAGTCACTACGCGGTCCTCCGGTCTGCATGGGTTTTCTCTGATGCTTTCGATCCGCTATTTCTACAGGCAAACTGGCTAGGCTAAATGGTGTCAGTAAATTATCTGTGTCTCTGAACAGAGTGCATTCTCTGCGATGGGCATTACCCACGCCCACCTGGCTCCCTGAACCTTACAAGGAATGAGCTGCTTTGATAATGAAAGAATTAATTCACTATATCAAAGGTGAGAGCCAAGAGCCCCCGCCAGGGCATCTCATCTGTTCGAAATAATCCGTTTTTATTTTTCTTATTGGGGAAAACTGTGTCAAGAGTTAGCAGCGGCCCCGAGATGTGTCAGAGGAGGAGGAGAACAGGGTCTGCAGCGCAGTGGAGGAGTTGGAGATTACGCACTGCTGAAAAACTCTCAAGGTTAAGAGGAATCAGGCGAGGAGCAAGCAGAGTTTCCTCCACCACTGGTTTTTAACTAGAGACTCACCGCCTCTCTGCCACCTAAAAAAAGTTTATAAAGTTTTTCTCCTACTTAGACTTGCACAACTTTAGGAACTTCAGAGCTCCCCTTCTCCTGCACAACCCTACCTGAAGGCCGATTGTATTATAATTCAAAAGGCAAAAAAAAAATCCATTCAACATTCAGCATTTCATTCCAAAGTCAGGATGTCAGAACGAGCAGTGCACCGCGGAATGAAAGCCTCCCCCCAACCCCCTCCTCCCGGCCTCTAAAAACTTCCACCCCAGCTCCGGCACTCAAGACACCACTTCAGTCCCCAAGGACTAGCTGCTCAGCAGGCATCCGAGAGAGCGGAGGTGAGTCTGACAGCTTCATTAAACAAGAATGCTTCCGACTCGAGACTTAAACTGGTTCGCCAGCCAAGGGAGAGCAAGGGAGGGAAAAAAAGTCTGTCTACCGACAGACTGTGTCCCGACCTCTTTACTGTCTCCTGTAAGCCTGTTTATCAGCATCTTCATCTGGAGGTGTAAAGCCCGGCTCTTGACTTTTCAAAGAAATTAAACTGTGCCACAGACCCTAGGTGCGGATTTTTAGTGCGGTGCCTCTCGCCTTTCTTCACTCTGCAAATTCCTGATGAGGAATGCTAAGCCCCCTGCTCCACACATGCTTCCTGACTCTCTACCTCAATCGTTTCTTCCAAATCAGCCACAGTGGTGAAAAAAAGAAAACGGCATTGATCTCACCTAAGGGGTCTAACCAATTAGTGGTGGTTGTGAAGTACCCTGTAGCCCAAACAAAAACCCACATGGGCTTGGATAAGGGCTGGCATGAAGGACAAGGAGCTGATGCAGAGATCCTCCAAGCCAAACACCAACAAA